AGATTCAACCACCAAAAAGGGAAACGATCTTCCAATACGAAATGCCAACAGCAAACAGTTCATCCAAGTCACCAACTGAACTGGTGGGCGTAACGCTTTCGATGCGAAGTGCTTCGTAAGTCCTGCTCAGCAACAAGGCACCTTTCGCCGTGAGTGCCACAGTTAGCTTCCTTGGCAGCCAAGTGACTGCTTCGTGTGGTGCATTTATTCTCCTGAAGTGGCCTTACTTATCGAAATAGCCCTTCAAGGCACTCCTGGCGAGAAAACAGCTACCAAATTGAAAACGTGAAAGGGGCGGTCAGCGATTTCTTCGACTCTCAGTCTACTCAGTTTTGGAGAAGAGGATCGCAGTGCCCATGAGTGGGGCACTGTAGCAGTGAGCAACAATGGGAACTGCATTGTTGAGCAAGTTCCAATGTATGCAGAACAAAAAAAAGCAGAGCAAAAAAGTTTAAACGGCTCAGAACTTCCTAATACTTAAAACCAACTTTATCGTGATCACTGCCTCTAAAGAACTCAAGTCCTGTTAAAGTTGAGATATTTGAGCGTTGCGCGCTTTCTTGTCTTGTCACTGCAGGTATTTTAACAGCAAACACGGTACAATTTAAAAAAAAACTGAGTCAAAATACCTTTGTTACCTGTCAGGTCTATACGAAGTTATCTATTTTTCTTGACAGCGCGTTTCTTGACAGCGCGGGAACGAACTTCGATCTTCATTCTCAATAACAATCGTAGATACCACCGGAATACTAGATAAACTTTTTCAGGCATTGAAAACTATTGTTTCTACTGTGAATGCTTAAAACAATCTGCCCACAAACCACCTGGTTCCAGACCCAGCATTTCAAAAATTACCTTTCACTTGTTAGCACTGGCATATCAACAGCATCACTGCGACCTGCACAAGTGGTGGAATTCTCTGGAGCCAGGGAGGGTATTTTGCGTCTAAATCCATTTCTTCAAGAAAAGAAGTCAATGGTTTATGCATCAGACAATTACCTGGCTTGCTTGGTTCTGGGCTGACCCTCTGCGTACAACTTAGATATCGATTCCATACGCTAAAATGAATTTCTTGGCTGGTGTCAGAGGTCCGCGATCGTCACAGATTTCGCTGATTTCAGCGATTTGCGCGAAACCTGCGATGGATCACAGTAGTTGGAAGTGCCCGATGATACTGCGAGGTGCTGCTGCGAATTCTGCTTGACAGTGAAGATTGAAAGACGACTGTTCGTGATTCTACCTGTTTCATGTTCAATGTCTATCAGTTCATTCGAAATGCTCATGATTCGGATCGCAAAAATTGCAAGTGCCCCATTTGAACAATTGAAACACTGAATATCAAACAAGTGGAATCATGAGGGCAGTCGTCATTCAGCCATCACTATCAAGCAGAAGTGGCGGCGGCATTGGAGAACACCTTGCAGTATTGATCGGGCACTTGTGGTTCCGTGACCCGTCGCGCAAATCGCGCAAATCCGCGAAATCAGCTGAAACCAGCGAACCTTGCGACGGAGCATTGGAGCTCTACCGGGTGTGTGGCGTTTGTCCTCCTGGGGTCAGGCTGCCGCCGCACGCGGCGATCGGGCTCGTCGCGTGTGCGGCGATTCTGCGATGTGGAGGTTTTTACTAGTCCATGCTGTTGTCCACCGTTGCAGCCTTCACATTTGATTGTCAAGTGACGAGGTGGCTAGTCCCAAGCACAGTAAGGCTCTTCCACTTTGATGTCTCCCATGGACATGAGCGCCAGAAATTAAGTTTGGAAATTAAGAAACGCTGCGGAGAACATTGGAACTTTCTGAAACAGTCTGAGTGAACGAACCATAGTAAACTGCGTATTAACGTCATGTAGAATGGGCGTCATGTGAAAACATATCGCCATACTGCATGATCTACTCTCTTTCACGCCATTGGGGAGAAGGGGGTCAGTCAAATTAAACAGGTCACTCAAACAGCGCCTAAGTTGCTCATTCGGCAGTAACGAATCGATAAAATTAACGAACTTTCACTCCAACAGCCAAAAGAGTGGAAGAGGGCTAAAACCATATTGTTTCCACAGCTAATAAATCACACCGCCACATCCAACCACCACAGCCTTCGCCGCGTCGATCGCCGCGTGCGACGGCGCGGCGGCGGCCCCAGGAGGACAAACGCCCGTCTCCCACTTGACACCAGCCTTGTGGCGAGAGATAAAACAATGTACTACCTTTCGAAGCATGTCGAATCGTTACAAAACGTGCCCCACGCTTATAAAAACGCCCCACTAACAATGACCCATCGACTCACATAGTAAGTGTCGTCTCCGTCGGCACATACCAAATGATAGTCGCATGGTTTTTGGGAATTCAAACAACACGCCTTTGCCATGCCATTTCCGCAAAGGTAGCTACGAAAAAGAGGACATGGTGAACCGTACTCGCCACTATCACATGAACAAAGTAAAGCGGTCGCCACACGTTGACGCTCTGAACAAGCTTATTTATTGCACTTAACAAAATTACGCACTCGTCGATTTTGGAGCTTGCATAAACAACTGTATACGAATATCTTCAAATATCATTCTGGAAGTATCTTAGGGAGGGGGAGGGAGAAAGTGCAATAAATCTTTCCGCCCATGGCGCCACATCACGAAACTTTTCGTCGCACAAGGGTGCCGCCTTTAATGGAGGTTAAAATACCAAAATATGTATTCCTCCGATGCCCGCCCCTTTCCTAATGAGCAAAACAAGTCCTCCTTCACTGCTCCCATCGTCTTCAGAAATGACGTCATCCGAAATCACCGTCAGATTCGAGTCTTTCTCAAGATTGGAGTGTGCTCTTTAGTGTCTAGTTGGAAGAGTTCGGTTTGAAAAAGAGGTGCGACAACCTATCTTCAAATGTTTTTCATTGTTTCCCCCCCCCCCCCCCCCGTTCCCACCATATTGCCAGTCGCGATCAGTAATGTCGTCTTTTTGATAACAAGGACATCGCAAAAGGTTCCGAAACACCCTCACATGTCATAATTCCCTTGACTTTATTAACTCTAATTTTCGACTTTGGGTTAATCAGCAGTATGAAATCCACTGTTTATCCAAATAGGAATGTTCACCTTCGTCAGGAATCACAAGTAAATCGTGAGTAGTTGGAAGAACATCGTAAGGGCTGACCCATGCACTCACTGAACCTAAAACCAAAAAAATTGGTATCAGAATATTCCCCACTTTGACAGTTTTATTACTTTTGATCTATTATATTTTTCGGCTTCATAGCTCTTAACAAGATAAGCACATGAGTATTAGCCAGCATGACTGACACATTGCTTCTGCTCAGTCCATTTTGGAAAGTGCCAATTTTAAGGGGTTACTTAGAAAGCTAAACAGAAACATTCCTTGGATCTGGATGTTGGGCAAAACGATGAGACCGGTTTTCGTCCAACTGAAATTTTCTTTGAACATAGGAGCACTGAATATGAATCTTCTACTACGAAGTTCTCAAGGAAGCGATTACGATAAGGAATTTTTTGCTGAGCAGGACCTGCGCAGCACTCCGCCTCCAGCAGCGTTACGCCCACTTGTTCAGATGATGACTTGGCGAGCTGTCTGCTGTTGGCTTTTCATTTTGGATATCGTTTCCCTTTTATCGGCTGTATCTTCCAACTTGCCCATGTATTGCCTTATCAATCAAAACACTATGCTTGTTGGCATGATGGCGGCTATCGGGGTTAACACGTCCGAACAACGTCGTTCTTTACCGTCGCTCATCCATGGTCGAAAATGGTCGTATTATAACTTGCTTATTTTAAGGGATTCTTCTGCTTTTTTTGCATTATCGTACTTGTTGAGACCCCACGTCCCTCTAAACCCCTTTGAGATCTATCGTAATCGCTGCCTTTAAAATAGGTGAACTGAATACATAGGTCAGAATCGAGTGGGAAAGTATTAGGTTTACCGTGCCACTTACTAGCCTTTAAGATATAATCAAACGTTCAAGGGAAAGCAACACGTTTCTCTCCTCGCTTCTTTGGTGGCTCGATAGGTTTTTCGGACTAGGGACTAGAGAATCAGAAGCTAAACTTGTTGGCATGATGGCGGCTATCGGGGTTAACACGTCCGAACAACTTCTTTCTTTGTCGTCGCTCATCCATGGTCGAAAATGAAAGGGCAATCAAAGGGGTACTATTTTGCTTATTTTTGACGGATTTCTTTGCTTTTTTCGCCATTGGCGTACTATTGAGCCCTCATTCCTCTTTACCCCTCTAGAACTATCATAATCTCGCCTTCAAGGGGGTGATATAGGATAAAAAAAAGGATAAAGCATTTGCCGTTGATCAATCCCTTTTGGGATGCGGCACGCATTCTACTTCCATTTGTACATTCGTAGTGGCGTTTGAATGCGATGTGGCCTATACAATGACTTGCGGGGGCCAGCCGATGTACAAGTCAGTGTTTTTTATCCTCCCAGACAAGTCTGGTACCAATTAACCGACCCCGGAGGGATGGAAGGCTTGGTTGGCCCGGGCGACTCACGACCCAGGATTTGATCCCGGACCGCTCGCGTGGTAAGCGTGCCACTTGCCACTACACCACTTCCGCCCCCTGTATATGATAGAGGGGGAAATGTCAGGGAATAGGGTGGTTGGGAAACCGCGTCCCAGCCAGCTCTTCCAATTTTGCACGGGTCTCTTAGCTATGTGGGGCCTGGCGTCATCGTGGAGTAGGTGGACAGAAGTTCGTCTCGGTCGTTTTTCTCGAACAGCGTCCGCTAGTTTCTGGAGCTGACTGGCGTAAATGCTGCCGGTAGCGGTATGTCCTTGCGGGAGCAGCTCATAATACAACATTCCTCGCGAATCCCAGAGGCAGCAAAGAAGACAGCTTTTGGGTGAAGGTCCGATTTTGCTTGCGTCGGCGGGTCTTCTCCTCGAGGGAGCCACACGGCACGGTGCTTATTAGACCTCATTTTCCGAAATCAAGCCTTCCAGAAACTCCTTTCGGTGCGGGCAAAGAAGGAGAAACTGACAAATGGGTACCCGCCTGAACCGCGTGCTATCGGTCAAGACATGAGGGATCCATCGAGTCAGCACTTTCCTGTGGCGAGGGCGTGGAGGGACCGAGACACTGTTGGTTGGGTACACTGGAATCTTCTCAACGGGTGCCTCTGGATCTTCTTCGACTGCGGCGAAAATGGTGGACACCCCCAGGAGGCCCGTCGCGCGACAAGAAGGCGAGTCAGCGGACGAGTTGCGCGCGTACTGTAGGGATTTCGCGTCAAGTTAAATAGAATGTTCCATTGCACGTCCTACATCGCTCACGCGCTGCGACTCGTCCGCGACTCTGCCTTCTTGCCGCGCGGCGGGCCTCCTGGGGTACCCAAAAATGGCGGATTCTTCAACTGTTGAGAGCGTCCCAACCCTGTCTTGTGTTTTATTTTGTCTTGGGAAGTAGTGTCTTTTCTTTTGAAACCGAAACGAGCATAATCGCTGCCTGTACATAAACCTCACGCGCATCTTAACTTGTGGCGAATAGTGCTGATTGACGAGTTGCAGGGCAGCTGATGCGCTTCGACAACAGTCTACCAGCTTTGAATGAAAGCGTATATTCTCTCATTTTCAGGAAGTGGTCATGGGTATTCTTAAGAATCACTCGAAGAATTCGGAGCGATCAGCAACAATCTCTGGCTTGAAGGCGTCTTTATCGAAGAGGGTTGG